GTTACGCCCCTGACCAGCTCCAGCCACGCCCCTGGCCAGCCCCACCCACAGCCCCAGCCACGCCCCTGGCCAGCTCCAGCCACGCCCATGACCAGCCCTAGCCCAGCTCCTTAGCCACACCCTCTCCAGCCACGCCCCTGAGCGGCCACGCCCTGCCCTGATCTGAGTACATTGTCCCTTCTTGTAAGCGTCCAGCTCTTGTGTCTGTTTCCTCTCCAAGGAACGACCTCACCGTCAGCGTTGGGGGCAGAGGGTGGGGTCTGAGGACGGATGCGGGGAGGCCACCTCCTGGTGGCACGTTTGGGTCCCTTTGGTGTTTTGGGTAGCGCCCCCTGGAGGCGCACTTCTGTCCTTTTTACTGTAAAACCGGAGCCTTCTAAGAGGAGGCGGCATTTCTCAACCGTCATGTCCCGAGCCGCGGCTGGGTGCCAGGGGTGGGGGTGAGGTGCAGCGTCCTTCCTCTGGCTGCGGGGGACGGGACATGGGAACTAGGCGGAGGTGGGGACAGCAGCGTGGCTGTGGGCTGGGTGCTCCTGGGGTGGCGTGGCCCGAGGAGGCCCCCAGTGCTGGCGATGTCATCCTGGGGCCCGACAGGGAGGGTGGGGTCGTGGCGTGTCCGAGAACAAAGACAGGCTCAGGGGTTGGGGCTTTTGTGTGCGCAGTGCACGCGCCTGTCATCCCCGCAGCTCGGGAGGCTGAGGCCGGAGGATTGAAAGCTGGAGGCCAGCCTCAGCCACTTGGCAAGGCCCTAAGTGACTCAGTGCGACCCTGTCTCTAAATAAAAAGTAAAAAGGGCTGGGGACGGGGCTCAGTGGTCAAGCACCTCGGGCTCAATCCCCGGTACCAAAAGTCGAAAAGCATCCCCGCAGGACCTCATCTAAGAGGTGTAAGCTGTTGTCACCGTGTGCTTACGACAGTACCTGGAACCCCGGGGCAGCTCGGTAGATGAGCTCATGCCATCGCACTCTGGGGACACGGGCCACACTAGTGACAGGGCTCTGCCAGCTTCCTGCAGCAACCTTTGAGCCATCCGGCATCCTGAGGGCAGAGCTGGGTGGGCTGGGTGCTGGGCATGCGGGGCAGGGCTGCCCTTCACCCCCGGCCTCTGTGTGCCAGACGTGGACGAGTGTGCGACGGGCACCCACAGCTGCCAGGCGGGCTTCTCGTGCCAGAACACCAGGGGCTCCTTCTACTGCCAGATGCGGCAGCGCTGCATGGAGGGCTTCCTGCAGGACCCCGAGGGCAACTGCGTGGGTGAGTGGGCACAGCTCAGCGGGGTCCCCTCCTCGGGCTCCTCGGGAGGTGGCATCCATCTCCAAGCGCTGGAGATTGAACTAGGGACACTCGACCCTGAGCCCCGTCCCCAGCCCTTTTTATGTTTTCTTTAGAGACAGGGTCTCCCTGAGTGGCTTAGGGCCTAAGTTGCTGAGGCTGGCCTCCACCTTGCGATCCTCCTGCCTCAGCCTCCCAAGCCCCTGGGATCCCAGGTGGGCCTCACTGCACCTGTCTGCTCCCAGCCCTTTTGAGACCAGGTGGACCTGGCTTGCGGCTCTGTCACAGCCTCTGTCTCCACCTGCGATGGGCATGCCCAGTGGCCAGCCCCAGGAGATGCTTGCAAAATTCTACCTGCCCTCCCCACCTGAGTCGTCTCACCTTGGCAGTTACTTGTCCTGTGGCCTCGGTTTACCCATTAGCGGGGTTGGACTGGTGGAAGAATGCATATCAAGTACTTTTTAACCTGTGACATCTGATACGGTGACCTGGTACAGACACACGCAGAGGGAAACACAACACCGGTTTCACAGCGCAGCCCCACGGAAAACTCAGGTCCTGGCATAGGGGTGCACTAATCCAGCAGCTCAGGAGGCTGACATAGGAGGCTCGCAAGTTGGAGGCCAGCCTCAGCAACTCAGCCAGACCTGTGTCTAAATAAAATCCAAGATAGGGATGGGGGTGTGGCTCAGTGGTCCAGGGCCCCGGGCTCAATCCCCAGCACCAAAACAAAACAAGTGCTAGTGAGACCTTCTAGAATGATCCCACGGATTAAGAGCTACAGTTTGATGGATGCTGGGCCAGTTGTTGTCCCCGAGAGGTTCTGAAGGCCCACACTGTCCCCACCCATCATCGTCCCCTTCCAAGAAGCCGCTGGTCAGCCACAGAGCCAGAAGGTCCCAGCTCCCCAGAAGCTGCGGGCCTGCTCCCTTGGAGGTAGAAGCTCAGCTTCTTGTACGAGGGACACTCAAAGCCACCTTCACTCTTGGGAACGAGCTGTGCAGAGGGACAGGGGAAGGACAGGTGCTGTGCAGAAGTCTGGTCCCCCTAGACTGGTCCTGAAGGTTGTCCCGTGGAGATGACATCAGGAAGTACACAGTTCAGCTCGAGAAATATTAGAGGTCAGCGTAGGCCGGGAAACAGGCAGCATGTGCAAAGGCCCTGTGGTGGGGCTGTGCCTGCATGTTGTAGCTTCGTAGAGGACTGGGGCTGGGAGAAGTGGGGGCAGGCCAGGCCCCTGCCAGGCTCCCTGTCACCCACCTCCCTCCTGCAGACATCAACGAGTGCACGTCGCTGCCCGAGCCCTGCCGCTCGGGCTTCAGCTGCGTCAACAC